ATAATTTTACATCAAGTTGAATCTACTCAAATCAAGTAAAATGCTCTTAACTTAAGTCATTTTAACTTAACTAAATATTGCTTTTTGTAACGTAAAAACACACAAAATATTATATAATAGGCAAGGCAAGGCAAGTTTATTTGTACAGCACAATTCGTACACAAAGTAATTCAAAGTGCTTTACAGAATAAGAAATACATTAAAATCATAATAAAAACAAATCAAAACAAAAATAATTATGAAGATTAAAATTAAAAAAGAGAGACATAAATTGGAGAGAAGAGTGCAGAATGAAAACCTTTCAGTCATATGCACAGTTAAACAGAAATGTTTTGAGCCTGGATTTAAACAGCGTCACAGAAGAGTCTGTCTCACATGTTCAGACTGTTCCAGGTTTTAGCTGCATGAACCTGAAACTCTGACTCCCCTTGTTTAGTCGTGACTCTGGGCACCAGCAGGAGGTCGGTCCCTGAGGTCCTCAGAGTGTGAGATGTTCATATGACACTAACATGTCGCAGATGGACTTTGGTGGCCATGGCAATAAAGTAAAATGAATTATGTAAAGTGTCACTGCATTACTGAGTGTTCAAAGCCAGTCTCAGAAAAGATGAGTTTTGAGCCTAGATGTAAACAGGCCAAAGTCTGAAAAGTCTAAAAAAAAAAAAAAAAAAAAAAAAAAAAAAAAAAAAGATTAGATATATTAAATTGTTGAACTAATCAGGTAAAGGCAAGACAATAACATGGCTTAAGATCCTATATCACGTCCAACTGACTCTTGTGAGCCTTAAGCCATGTTATAATGTTGTTACCTCCTCAAAAACATACCATATAATTTCTAAATAATAATGAATTTGGTTTTATTGTCGTGTAAATTTCCAGACATGTTGTTATGTTTTGTTTCTACAGTTAATAACATTGCTGTATATGGGTGTGTTTGTCTTAGTGACTGGTGCAGAACAGTGCCCTCTGGTGGCAGACAGGCAGGTTGGACAGTGTCAGAGAAGGTGACAGGTCTCTCCAGTTTCAGCAGAGCAATGTCATTTCTGTCAGAGAGATTTCAATGTCATAAGACAATTACTGTAAGATATTTAATCAACATACAACAGTCCTTAAAAGTGCATTGTGTCACTTTTCTGGTGGAAGGTCCATCATCATATTTTTCTTCATGGAGATGTCATTGCTTTGCCTGGAATGTTTCAGAGTATGGCATTAAACCTTTCTATCTTCATGGAGACCAAACCAGACCAAAGTTACAGGTCAGATCTGTGGAGAAGCAAGTGTTTTTCAAGGTATTTGAACTACAACACTACCTGTAATTGAATAAATGTAAGGCAGAGCTGTTTAATGCCATACTGCAGAATATTCCAAACAGAGCAGTGACATATCCATAGAAACAAGCAGTTGACCAAAAAGTGACATACTGCCCCTTTAAAATAACTATGTGTGTACCTGTATGCGAAATATTACCACTTTGCAAAGACACATGAAAGAAATGAAAAGACTTGTACAATTACATTAAGCAATACATTCACATTTGTATATCACAGATTTTTTTTGTTTGTTTAAGTTTTGAGGATATGAAAAGTTAGAATACTGATTATATTGTTTATATCTGAAAACAACAAACAACCACCAACACTCACACACACACTCTACAAGCATACCAGGCAAGTGTACAACAGCAGTATGCATTAAAGCCTCTGCTGTCCCGCGTGGCACTTGGCATTCTCAGTGGTCTCCAAATGCAAGTTCTAACCTACTTATCATGGACAGTACTCCCACATTATAGCAAGAAATTGATTTTTAATTACAAAATGTTCAGAAATTTTGTGAGCACCTCATCACTCAAAAAAACAAAATACAGTTTGAACAAGATAATGAGGACAAAACATCAGGCTCTAAAGCTCCGAAAGTCAAGTCAATTTTGCAACGTCTTTAAACCTTAACCTACGGAAGCCGAGAGGGGTCACAACAAACGCAAACGCCGCAACAAATACAAATGCGACAAACACAACAAAAAGCCACACAAACCAAAAAAAGCCACAACGGAAATGACCGCGGGACTCATTTTAATGCAACACCGCAACAAATACAAACGCCACAACAAATGCAAATGCCGCAACACATTAAGAAACCACAACACATTAAAAAGCCACAACGGAAGTGACCACGAGACTCTATTTTCCGACAGACCGATCAAGCGCCAAGTGAAGAAGAAGAACTACAATGTGAAAAGTAAAGGAACGGAGAAGTTGGAAACGTAAGTAAAAGAAATTTATTGTTTTATCATTATTCGTTTCACGTTGTAGTTCTTCTTCTTCAATTGCCGCTTGATCGGTCCGTCGGAAAATAGAGTCCCACGGTCACTTCCGTTGTGGCTTTTTGATGTGTTGTGGCTTTTTAATGTGTTGCGGTTTTTGCGTTTGTGTTGTGGCATTTGTATTTGTTGCGGCGTTTGCATTAAAATAGGAATTAAATCCCGCGGTCATTTCCATTGTGGCTTTTTTTTTGGTGTGTTGTGGCTTCTTTTGGTTTGTTGTGGCTTTTTGTTGTGTTGTTGCATTTGCATTTTTTGTTGCGTCTTTTGCGTTTGTTGTGACCCCTCTTGGCTTCTGTATTAACCGCAACATTTACAGGTATGTTTTATCACATTTCTAATCTTAGACAAACATGGACTGTCAGTCGAGGCTGTTGACCTCGACTGGGGATGTTGCTGGACAGTGGAAGGAATACTTTTAAGATCTCCTCAATTCCATCATCACGTAGTTTGAGTATCTTATGTCTCTGGATGATGTGGGGCTGTCTTGGCTGACACGTCTCTGCAACATCGCATGGTGGTCGGACTCTGGACTGGCAGACCGGGGTGGTGGTCCCTCTGGAACGACTGTGCAGTCCATGGACTCCAGGAGTGAATCACCAGTCTTTCAGACTCTTCCCCACAGTAGTCTAGCTCCCCCGTCTCTGTTCCAGGGTACTGGAGAGGAGAATCTGACTGATACTCGAACCTCGGATTCAAGAGGAGTAGTGTGTTTTTCGTTTCAGCCGCGGAACACTGGACCAGCTCTGTACACTCTCCATCAGGTGCTCAAGTGTTCATGGAAGTTTGCCCAACCAGTCCACAAGTGCTTTCGTGGATCTAGAGAAGGCACCAGACCATTTCCATCGTGGTGTTGATTTTATTGGAAAGCACTTTGCTCACCCTGAGTGTTGTAAAGGGCTCTATAAATAAAGTTTGATTGATAAACCCACTCCCATTTGTCATTTGTGTGTCATGTGTCAGGGTTCATTTATTTTTACTCAATGACCAGTATAGAACAGTAAGAATAATAAAAGAATCTTTATTTTTGCATGATGAATGTAAAAATAGAAACACATCTTTTTTTTAATTTGATCTAACAACATAGTTTACATTAAATAGAATAAAATAATATGACAGATATTTTGGATTCAACTGAATTAATAAAGGCATTTTCCCTGGCAGCCTCAATGTCTGCTTTCATTACTGCCACGACTCTTTTTGCTGCCACCACTCTTTTTGCTGCCGCGACTTTCATTGTTGCCGCGACTTTCATTGTTGCCGCGACTTTCATTGTTGCCGCGACTTTCATTATTGCCATGATTTTCATTACTGCCGCGATTTTCATTATTGCCGCGACTTTCATTGTTGCCGCGACTTTCATTATTGCCATGATTTCCATTATTGCCATGATTTTCATTACTGCCGCTATTTTCATTATTGCCGCGATTTTCATTATTGCCGCGATTTTCATTATTGCCGCGATTTTCACTGTTGCCGCGACTTTCACTGTTGCCACGACCTTCATTGCTGCCACGACTTTCATTGCTGCCATGACTTTTATTGTTGCCGCGACTTTCATTGTTGCCACGACTTTCATTGCTGCCACGACCTTCATTGCTGCCACGACCTTCATTGCTGCCACGACTTTCATTGCTGCCATGACTTTTATTGTTGCCGCGACCTTCATTGCTGCCACGACCTTCACTGCTGCCACGACCTTCATTGCTGCCATGACTTCATTGCGACCTTCATTGCTGCCACGACCTTCATTGCTGCCACGACCTTCACTGCTGCCATGACCTTCATTGCTGCCACGACCTTCATGCTGCCTGCCACGACCTTCATTGCTGCCATGACTTTTATTGCTTGCCACGACCTTCACTGCTGCCACGACCTTCATTGCTGCCACGACTTCATTGCTGCCACGACCTTCACTGCTGCCATGACTTTATTGCTGCCACGACCTTCACTGCTGCACGACCTTCATTGCTGCCATGACCTTCATTGCTGCCACGACCTTCACTGCTGCCACGACCTTCACTGCTGCCACGACCTTCACTGCTGCCATGACCTTCATTGCTGCCACGACCTTCACTGCTGCCACGACCTTCATTGCTGCCATGACCTTCATTGCTGCCACGACCTTCACTGCTGCCATGACCTTCATTGCTGCCACGACCTTCATTGCTGCCATGACTTTTATTGTTGCCACGACCTTCACTGCTGCCACGACCTTCATTGCTGCCATGACTTTTATTGTTGCCGCGACCTTCATTGCTGCCACGACCTTCACTGCTGCCACGACCTTCACTGCTGCCACGACCTTCATTGCTGCCATGACCTTCATTGCTGCCACGAGTTTCATTGCTGCCACGACCTTCATTGCTGCCACGACCTTCACTGCTGCCATGACCTTCATTGCTGCCACGACCTTCACTGCTGCCATGACCTTCATTGCTGCCACGACCTTCATTGCTGCCACGACCTTCATTGCTGCCATGACCTTCATTGCTGCCACGACCTTCATTGCTGCCACGACCTTCACTGCTGCCATGACTTCATTGCTGCCATGACTTTCACTGCTGCCATGACTTTCATTGCTGCCATTGCTGCCATGACTTTATTGCTGCCATGACTTTCACTGCTGCCACGACCTTCACTGACTTTCATTGCTGCCATGACTTCATTGCTGCCACGACCTTCATTGCTGCACGACATTGCTGCCACGACTTTCATTGCTGCCACGACCTTCATTGCTGCCACGACTTTCATTGCTGCCACGACTTTCACTGCTGCCATGACTTTCACTGCTGCCACGACTTTCACTACTGTGAGAACTCTCGTTACTGTCACTGCACTCACTACTGTAAGTCTTGACATTTTGGCGTCTGGCGCACACGTAGGACATTGTACGTGAGCATGGATGGTCATTCCACAAGTGATGTTCTGTGGATAGAAAATGGACAATTTATCAGTTACAATAGAAAATAATGCTTTAAAATATGCAAAGCCAATTGCTGGTTTCAGACGACATCACAGCATTCAATAGGCAAATATTATTGAATACAGATGTGGGCAGGTAAAATGATTTCTTTTGTAATATGGCATGGCCTTGGGTGTAGTCAATAATAGTCTGTACAACTCTGTGTATTTTCAGTTATTGATTAAACCCAATTACTCACTGTTTTACATAATTTTAACAATATTCCTTGTAGCTGCCCCCGTCTGTATTAAGTAACATTGGCCTGTAGAATGCTGTGATGCCATCTGAAACCCAACAAAATGACTTACAGAACATGTTGCTTACCTTTATGGTTTATGTGGAGGCAGTGTTCATTTCCATTGAGATTATCAGGTTCTCCAGAGGCCCAGAGATTAAAGTCAAATGCTGTCCCGTCACTCCACTGCCACACCGCCTCCTGGATTTACCACGAAAACACGAAACAAAGTCAAGTACATGTGTATACTTCGCTACTGGCATTAATGGGCATGTTTGAGTTTTTTCTGATGTTATAATTCAGGAATGATTTCTAATGTTGTGTCCTACCAAGTCTTTTTTTCAATACATAAATAGGAAAAATGTCATTGCATTAAAACTATTGTAAATATAAATTATAGTTTTAGACCAATTAAGAAGAACTTTGTGAAGAATAGTTGAAAAATATGTTGAAAATTACAGAGTTCTAACACACTGACGACCTCGCAGTAGGGAGAATTCTGTCTACAAGTCCGGTACAATTTATCCACAAGAAAAATCAGATTTTCCGTTGTTACTGATACTATTTGTCAGATAATAATGTGTGTTTAGAGGAAGTTGAATTTTAAACTTAAATAAAAATAAGTCTGAATGATTTTGCAAGAATCTAAAAACATAATTATCTTAACTGTGTTTTGGTAAAATGTCTAAGGCACTTTAAAGGTACTTTTTCTGGTGGAGGGTCCATCAAAAACTTTTCTCCATGGAGATGATGTTGCATTGTCTGGAATGTTTCATAGTGTGGCATTAAACCTTTCTAACTTCATGGAGACCAAATCAGACTTAGTGTCAGAATCCCTGTTGTTCTAGGTATTTTTGAGCTATAAACGCACCTGTAAATGAATAAATGTAAGGTAGAGCTGTTTAATGTTGTACTGTGGAACATTCCAGGCAGAGTAGTAACATCCATAGAAACAAGAATGTGACGGACCCCCAACCAAAAAGTTACACTTACAAAGATGTTACGACATTAGTAATATCAGAAGCTATCTTACCTCAACTGCATCATGTCCACCAATCCAAGCGTACGAGTTTTCTTTGGTCACATGCAGCACGAGGTCTCGGAGGAACTGATACTCGCCGTTGTTGTGGACAGAGGCCAGGTTTCCACCGACCTCATGGCAGGAGAGCTGGAGAAAAGCAGATGCAAGATTACAATTTTACACTGTTCCAAACATACGTTTCAGACCAGAGTTTTCAGTTTTCACAAATTTTGTATTTATATATCACGTTATTTTCTGATCAAGTTATAATATAATGTTGTTTTCTCATCAAAAACAGACCTGAAGTCATTTTTCATTCACACATATTGAACACACAAACCCTCCATATTTAGGCTGAGTTCTTCTCTCAAACAGAAAACACTCTGTTCCACCTTGTGATGTCATGTGGTTATACAGGGAGTGCTGCACTGTGTTTTTAAACTCTATCCACTCTCACTAGAATCATTTGGATAATTTCAGCTCTGGAATTGTCAGTCTCTTCTGAACTCAAGGTAAAAGGAGCTGTTAACTTGAAAATTATACCTTTTCATGACATCACAAGGTGGAAAAGAGCATTTTGAGCTTTGGAGATGTAGATAGACTAATAATAATGGATTACTCAAACATGTGTGAATGAAACAAAACACAACTTGTGTTTTTGATGATGAGTCCCTTTTACGCAATATAGGCCCTAACATTTTGAGCAAAAGGTTTAAGTTTTAAAGAACACACATTTTGCATTATGTATATATATATTTTTTTCTTTTCATCCTGTTATAATATTCTTCCTTCATCGTGTATTTAGAAGTTCATTCATGCCGGTTTTATTCATCCTCTGTAAAAAGTCCTTTGCCTCTGAGTTTCAGAGGCAGTTTTGAAAGCCTTTGTTAAGTTTGTTATCGACTTAACATAGCCATTCGACACTTTGAACCATCCCATGCTACTACAAAAGCTCACTTATTTCAGTCTATCAAAAATAACCTTAAACTGGCGACAATCGTATCTGGCCATGTGTCTGTGCGCATAATGTGAAATCTCCAACATCTCAAAACAATCTTGGTGTGCCTCAAGGCTCGATACTGGGTCCATTGCTGTTTGGCATGTACATTAATGTCTTGCCCCAAATGTATGTGTAATGTAGTCAGTCAGATGTACACTGACCATGCAGTTTTGTATGTTCATTTTAAAAACAAACTGCAAACTGCAGAGGACCTGTCAGTTGTTATGTCAGAGATGGCTGTAACATTCACAATTGTTTAGCTTTTTAACTCTTGACTTCGAACTTCAAATGAAATGTTTGAAATGAATTGTATGTATAGTGATTGTACAGTGAGTGTGTTGTATGTATAGTGAGTGTGTTGTATGTATCGTGAGTGTGTTGTATGTATAGTGAGTGTGTTGTATGTATAGTGAGTGTGTTGTATGTATAGTGAGTGTGTTGTATGTATCGTGAGTGTGTTGTATGTATCGTGAGTGTCCTGGTGTTATGTACTTTTGTGTGATTGTTGCTGTACTTTTCCCTATCCAGTTGATGATTTCACATCAACCTGACAGGTGACTGAAGATGGAAATTACCTAGCTATTAACACTGGCTATAATCTTTACATATTTACATTAATGTTCATTAATATGTGTTGTCCCTTTACAAATAAATAAATAAGAAAAAATAAGAAATATGAAAACACAAGAATTGAAATCTCTCAGGATTGTTGCATCACAGGTATAAACCCATGTGCAGTTTATAAATCCTTAAATTCTTGCCATCATTAAAGTGTCACGGTTTGTTACTTATGACTTAGTTACATTTTTGTAACTACCTCATGGTAATTCCCTCTCTTGGCAGTAGCTGGTGAGCTGCACCAGATGCCACTATGGGGAGCACTGAAGTTGTGGAATAATGTGTGCTTCTTTAATTTCCATTATTTTATCTTCTAAAACATGAGATGGTGAGATGGTGTAACTTTTCTGGTGGAAGGCCCGTCAAATGCTTTTCTTCATGAAGATGTTATTGCTTTGTCTGGAATGTTTCACAGTATGGCATTTTTTGTCTGTCTTTGTTTTTATTGTTTGTATTTAAAGGTGCATTGCGCAACGTTTCAGGTGGAGGTTCTGTTACCTGCTTGTTTCCATGGAGATGTTTACCTGGATTTTTTCATGGTTTATTGGTTCATTAAACATCTCTATCAAGCTTTTGGGATAACAAAATGTGAATACCTCTGCGTCGATCCATTTCTTTGGGCCGTGGAAGAACATGAAGCAACGAGACTGAAAGCGAGTCCATCCTTCAGGACAACATGCTTTTGCTAAAAACAACCAAACACAAGCACAACAACATTGAATTAATTAAGTAACTCATTATTTATACAAGTTTGTGACAGTAAATAATTTGTAGTTTTATGTAGACTCTACATATATATCATTTTTCAAGAGGCAAAACATTAGAATGAAACACTGAATGGGGTAAATGAAGTGGGCCACATTTCTGTTTGTGTCTCTGTGTTTTGTATTTTGGGTGGACCAGTTTCTGTCTTAAGTGTTTGTTGGTTTGAAATAGATTTCATGGTGTCTGAAAATCTTCTGCAGCTTTTCAAAACAGCACCCACGTAAGAAATAGTCACAACCTTTCTCCTGGTTATTTCCTCATTATGCATTAATTGCTCAAGGTTAATTAAGGTGTAGTTATTATCAAGTGGTACATAATAGAACATTACTAATACATTTTAAGTATCATTTAACACAGTTGAACTTTCAATTAAGATGTCCATTAAGTGCAAATATTTATTTTTCAAGCTCGGTGCAGAGGATTTTAATAAAACATCAAACATCTTTAAAGTTACACACATCTACACACTTTAAACCATTATTAACAATTGATTTATTATTAATATACATCATACATATACACATATGTCATTTTGTGTTAATAAATGCTTATGTCTTACTCTGAAGTATTACTAGGTCATCATTTATAAACCTCAATAGTAAAAATGTAATTTAAAGCAACACCATGTAACTCATCACCTGCAGGATTCCATGGAAAAAGGAAGTTAAAACCATACTGTGTAATATTATAGCCAAAGAAACAAGTTTTAGAGAAGAAAAAAATAAATAAAAAAGAACATTAGAACTTACCTGGTGGGGTGAAACATTTTTCCCAATATTTTCCATAATACTTCTTTATCCAAGAACATTTCCGAGGAGTAGTTGTGGGGTGAGGTGAAGTAGTAGGTGTAGTAGTAGTAGTAGTTGGAGTAGTAGTAGTAGTAGGAGTAGTAGTGGTAGTAGTAGTAGTAGTAGTAGTAGTAGTAGGAGGAGTAGTAGTAGTAGTAGTAGTAGTAGTAGTAGGAGTAGTAGTAGTAGTAGTAGTAGTAGTAGTAGTAGTAGTAGTAGTAGGAGGAGTAGAGTAGTAGTAGTAGTAGTAGTAGTAGTAGTAGTAGTAGGAGTAGTAGTAGTAGTAGTAGTAGTAGGTAGTAGGTAGTAGTGTAGTAGTAGTAGTAGTAGGAGGAGTAGTAGTGGTTGTAGTAGTAGTAGTAGTAGTAGTAGTAGTAGTAGGAGGAGTAGTAGTAGTAGTAGTAGTAGTAGTAGTAGGAGTAGTAGTAGTAGTAGTAGTAGTAGGAGGTAGTAGTAGTAGTAGTAGTAGTAGTAGTAGTAGTAGTAGTAGTAGTAGGAGTAGTAGTAGTAGTAGTAGTAGTAGTAGTAGGAGTAGTAGTAGTAGAGTAGTAGTAGTAGTAGTAGTAGTAGTAGGAGGAGGAGTAGTAGTAGTAGGAGTAGTAGTAGTAGTAGTAGGAGGAGTAGTAGTAGTAGTAGTAGAGTAGTAGTAGTAGTAGTAGTAGTAGTAGGAGGAGTAGTAGTAGTAGTAGTAGGAGGAGTAGTAGTAGTAGTAGTAGTAGTAGTAGTAGGAGGAGGAGTAGTAGGTAGGAGTAGTAGTAGTAGTAGGAGGAGTAGTAGTAGTAGGAGGAGTAGTTAGTAGAGTAGTAGTAGAGGTAGTAGTAGTAGTAGAGTAGTAGGAGTAGTAGTAGTAGAGAGAGTAGTAGTAGTAGTAGAGTAGTAGTAGTAGGAGGAGTAGTAGTAGTAGTAGTAGTAGTAGTAGTAGTAGGAGTAGTAGTAGTAGGAGTAGTAGTAGTAGTAGTAGTAGTAGTAGTAGTAGTAGTAGTAGGAGTAGTAGTAGTAGTAGTAGTAGTAGTAGTAGGAGGAGAGTAGTAGTAGTAGTAGTAGTAGTAGTAGTAGGAGGAGTAGTAGTAGTAGTAGTAGTAGTAGTAGTAGTAGTAGTAGTAGTAGGAGGAGAGTAGTAGTAGTAGTAGTAGTAGGAGGAGTAGTAGTAGTAGGAGGAGGAGGAGTAGTAGTAGTAGTAGTAGTAGTAGTAGTAGTAGTAGTAGTAGAGTAGTAGAGTAGTAGTAGTAGTAGTAGTAGTAGTAGGAGGAGGAGTAGTAGTAGTGAGTAGTAGTTAGGTAGTGAGTAGTTTAGTAGGAGTAGTTTTAGTTAGTTGGAGTAGTAGTAGTAGTAGTAGTAGTAGTAGTAGTAGGAGTAGTAGTAGGAGGAGTAGTAGTAGTAGTAGTAGGAGGAGGTAGTAGTAGTAGTAGTAGTAGTAGTAGTAGTAGTAGTAGAGTAGTAGTAGTAGTAGGAGTAGTAGTAGTAGTAGTAGTAGTAGTAGGAGGAGGAGTAGTAGTAGGAGGAGTAGTAGTAGTAGGTAGGTAGTAGTAGGAGGAGGAGTAGTAGTAGTAGTAGTAGTAGTAGTAGTAGTAGTAGTAGGAGGAGGTAGTAGTAGTAGTAGTAGTAGTAGTAGTAGTAGTAGTAGTAGTAGTAGTAGTAGTAGGAGGAGGAGTAGTAGTAGTAGTAGTAGTAGTAGTAGTAGTAGTAGAGGAGGAGTAGTAGTAGTAGTAGTAGTAGTAGGAGGTAGTAGTAGTAGTAGGAGGAGTAGTTGTGGTACGATTACGGCAATGAGGTTTAGTTTTGGTAATAGGTTTTGTTTTAGCCGTTATTGGACTCGATGTAGTCCTTTTTGTAGTCGTGTTGGAGTAGTAGTAGTAGTAGGTAGTAGTAGTAGTAGTAGTAGTAGTAGTAGTAGTAGTAGTAGTAGTAGTAGGAGGAGGTAGTAGTAGTAGTAGTAGTAGTAGTAGTAGGTAGTAGTAGTAGAGTAGTAGTAGTAGTTAGTAGTAGTAGTAGGAGGAGGAGTAGTAGTATTAATAGGAGTAGTAGTAGTAGTAGGAGGAGGAGTAGTGTAGTAGTTGTAGTAGTAGGAGGAGGAGTAGTAGTAGTAGTAGTAGTAGGTAGGAGGAGGTAGTAGTAGTAGAGTAGTAGTAGTAGTAGTAGTAGGAGAGAGTAGTAGTAGTAGTAGTAGTAGTAGTAGTAGTAGGAGGAGGTAGTAGTAGTAGAGTAGTAGTAGTAGTAGTAGTAGTAGTAGTAGGAGGAGGAGTTGTAGTAGTATTAGGAGGGAGTTTAGGAGTAGGTAGGTTTTGTTTTAGCCGTTATTGGAGAATGTAGTCCTTTTTGTAGTCGTTGTTGGACTCGTAGTAGTAGTAGTAGTAGTTGTAGTAGTAGTAGTAGTAGTAGTAGTAGTAGTAGTAGTAGTAGTAGTAGTAGTAGTAGTAGTAGTAGTAGTAGTTGGAGTAGTAGTAGTAGTAGTTGGAGTAGTAGTAGTAGTAGTAGTAGTAGGAGGAGGAGTAGTGTAGTAGTAGTAGTAGTAGTAGTAGTAGTAGTAGGAGGAGTAGTAGTAGTAGTTAGTAGTAGTAGTAGGAGGAGGTAGTAGTAGTAGAGTAGTAGTAGTAGTAGTAGGAGGAGTAGTAGTGAGTAGTAGTAGTAGTAGTAGTAGGAGGAGGAGTAGTAGTGTAGTTGTAGTAGTAGTAGAGGAGGAGGTAGTAGTAGTGGTTAGTAGTAGTAGTAGGAGTAGTAGTAGTAGTAGGTAGTAGTAGTAGTAGTAGTAGTAGTAGGAGTAGTAGTAGTAGTAGTAGTAGTAGGAGGAGGTAGTAGTAGTAGTAGTAGTAGTAGTAGGAGGAGTAGTAGTAGTAGTAGTAGTAGTAGTAGTAGTAGGAGGAGTAGTAGTGGTAGTAGTAGTAGTAGGAGTAGTAGTAGTAGTAGTAGGAGGAGGAGTAGTAGTAGTAGTAGTAGTAGGAGGAGGAGTAGTAGTAGTAGTAGTAGTAGAGGAGGAGTAGTAGTTTAGTAGTAGTAGGAGGAGGTAGTAGTAGTGTAGTAGTAGTAGTAGTAGTAGGAGAGGAGTAGTAGTAGTGGTAGTAGTAGTAGTAGTAGTAGAGGAGGAGTAGTAGTAGTAGTAGTAGTAGTAGTAGTAGGAGGAGGAGTAGTAGTGTAGTAGTAGTAGGAGGAGGAGTAGTAGTAGTAGTGGTTGTAGTAGTAGTAGGAGGAGGAGTAGTAGTGGTTGTAGTAGTAGTAGGAGGAGGAGTAGTAGTAGTAGTAGTAGTAGTAGTAGTAGTAGTAGGAGGAGTAGTAGTGGTTGTAGTAGTAGTAGGAGGAGGAGTAGTAGTAGTAGTAGTAGTAGTAGTAGTAGTAGGAGGAGGTAGTAGTAGTAGTAGTAGTAGTAGGAGGAGTAGTAGTAGTAGTAGTAGGTAGTAGTAGTAGTAGTAGTAGTAGTAGTAGTAGTAGTAGGAGTAGTAGTAGTAGTAGTTGAGGAGTAGTAGTTAGTAGTAGTAGTAGTAGGAGGTAGTAGTGGTTAGTAGTAGTAGTAGTAGTAGTAGTAGTAGTAGGAGGAGTAGTGTAGTAGTTGTAGTAGTAGTAGGAGGAGTAGTAGTAGTAGTAGTAGTGTAGTAGTAGTAGGAGGTAGGTAGTAGTAGTAGTAGTAGTAGTAGTAGTAGTAGTAGGTAGGAGGAGTAGTAGTAGGTTGTAGTAGTAGTAGTAGGAGGTAGTAGTAGTAGTGGTGTAGTAGTAGTAGGAGGAGTAGTAGTAGTAGTAGTAGTAGTGGTTGTAGTAGTAGTAGGAGGAGGAGTAGTAGTGGTTGTAGTAGTAGTAGGAGGAGGAGTAGTTGTAGTGGTGTAGTAGTAGTAGGAGGAGGAGTAGTAGTGGTTGTAGTAGTAGTAGTAGGAGGAGGAGTAGTGGTTGTAGTAGTAGTAGGAGGAGGAGTAGTTGTGGTTGTAGTAGTAGTAGGAGGAGGAGTAGTGTAGTAGTAGTAGGAGGAGGAGTAGTTGTGGTTGTAGTAGTAGTAGGAGGAGGAGTAGTAGTGTAGTTGTAGTAGTAGTAGGAGGAGGAGGAGTAGTTGTGGTACGATTACGGCAGCGATGAGGTTTAGTTTTGGTAATAGGTTTTGTTTTAGCCGTTATTGGACTCCATGTAGTCCTTTTTGTAGTCGTTGTTGGACTCGTAGTAGTAGTAGTAGTTGTAGTAGTAGTAGTAGTAGGAGGAGTAGTAGTAGTAGTAGTAGTAGGTAGTAGTAGTAGTAGTAGTAGTAGTAGTAGGTAGTAGTAGTAGTAGTAGTAGTAGTAGTAGTAGTAGTAGTAGTAGTAGTGGTGTAGTAGGTTGTAGGAGTAGTAGTAGTAGTAGTAGGTTGTAGTAGTAGTAGGAGGAGAGTAGTAGTTGTAGTAGTGTAGTAGTAGTAGTAGGAGGAGGAGTAGTAGTAGGTAGTGTAGTAGTAGTAGGAGGAGGAGTAGTAGTAGTGGTTGTAGTAGTAGTAGGAGGAGTAGTAGTGGTTGTAGTAGTAGTAGTAGGAGAGGAGTAGTTGTGGTTAGTAGTAGTAGTAGGAGGAGTAGTAGTGTGGTTGTAGTAGTAGTAGGAGAGGAGGTAGTGAGTAGTAGTAGTAGTGGAGAGTAGTAGTAGTGTAGTAGTAGTAGTAGTAGTAGTAGTAGGAGGAGGAGTAGTAGTGGTTGTAGTAGTAGTAGGAGGAGGAGTAGTAGTAGTGGTAGTAGTAGTAGTAGTAGAAGTAGGAGGAGTAGTAGTAGTATTAGTAGTAGTAGTAGTAGTAGTAGTAGTAGGAGTAGTAGTAGTAGTAGTTGGAGGAGTAGTAGTAGTAGTAGTAGTAGGAGGAGTAGTAGTGGTTGTAGTAGTAGTAGGAGGAGGAGTAGTAGTGGTTGTAGTAGTAGTAGTAGGAGGAGTAGTAGTAGTTGAGGAGTAGTAGTAGTAAGTAGGAGGAGGAGTAGTTGTGGTAGATTACGCAGCGATGAGTTTAGTTTTGGTCATAGGTTTGTTTTAGCCGTTATTGGACTCCATGTAGTCCTTTTTGTAGTCGTTGTTGGACTCGTAGTAGTAGTAGTAGTTGTAGTAGTAGTAGGAGGAGGAGTAGTTGTGGTTGTAGTAGTAGTAGG